GGAAAGCCATTAGTCATCTGCTGACTAGGACACAGGGAAAGAGAGGAGTCTTAGACCCAAGAGGGTTGACCATGATATAGGAAGATAATTGCAGGAAAGGTTCTGGGATCACTGTGTTTTCCATGGCAGAGGCTGGCTGCCCATTTCCCTATCTCAGCTTCCTCTCCTCCACCTGTAGATAAACTACTGGTTGAAGACCACCTCTGCCTGCACGCAGGCCAGAAAGGGCACACAGCCCATTATTCTGATGTTGGTAGTGTTGGGTTTTCATTGACATAATCTTACTATTTGAATGCAAATTCCAGAAATGAGCCAGCATTACTGGAACAGAAAGAAGCTAAAAATGATTATCAGAGGATTGGGAAATATATTGTATAGGAGCAGGAACGATAACACTGTTCCTTCACATCTGATTGTGATTTGATATTGGACTGAATCTAGAGCAGATCCACTTTAGCAAATAGATCCAAAGAAGGGGGAAAAAAAAAAAAAAAAAGTTAACCAAAGTTGATGGCATTTGTATGTGTCCAAAAAAAATTATTTGCAGACAGATACTTTGGCACTTTGCCATGAAAATTTGTCCAAATATTGAAAAATAGTAAATAAGAAAGTGTACTTAAATATAGTCCAGTGTTTATGAATTTTCAGCTGAACTTTGGCAGTAAGCCCCAAATGTAATAAAAGACTCTGCACCAATATATATTGCTTTTCTTATTTATTTTTTTTTTTCATTTCTTTTTCTCTGTCTCTATAGACAAAGCTGACAGCATAGCATAGATCTTGAGATATTGCTGATGTATTTTTCTGAGCTAAAGTATGTAGGTAACTCTTACTCTAATGATTGCAGCAGAATCCCAACCTCCTTCCAACTTCCTCAAAGTATTTGTGGGAAGAGAAGTTACTACTGGCATTGCCTTGGACCTTGGATCTTTCTTCAGGTTCTTCAACATCTAGATTCAGCCAGTGCCTTGTGTGTAACATCTGTTCTCAAGTTGGAAAGTCTTGCTGTCCCCATTTTACAGATGGATTTTTGAGAGACAGGAGGAATAAAGCCAAATGCTTCAAAGATACTTAGGGAGATTAAGTGCTGAGTTCCCTTTGAAGGTCTAAACCCAATTGACAAGCTTGTGATGATGCAAGAGATTTGTATTGCCCACAGACACAGAACCATTCTTTCAGAGAAGTGTCATAACCACTCCACAATCCTTCCTCTTTCTTCTTCCTAAAGCTCCTACTGACTTCAAAGGTGGAGTATTATGGCCCTATAAGCACTATAAGGCCCATGGCACTATAAGCTCAGACATGTGTGCAGAAAGTTGCCCATACATATATTCCATCAGGGATACTGGCTCAAGGAAATTTACACAAGCAGTGTGGACGGCAAGAAATTTCTGCAAGACTGGGACTTGACTCCTTTTTTGTTCTCATCTTTTCTTCTTTTAACGTCAAAAGCTTAAATAAGAAATGCAGGCTGTACCTAATGATTGAGTTTGAGGTCCATCTGTGCTGTCCACAGGAGACCTGTAAACCAAAATAAATAGGAAGAAAGGAGTTACAGATGATTCAGTCAACTAACATATTCTTTCTTTTGATCACCTCTGAATGAAATGTACTACTGAGTTTCCATGGGAAATATGTAGTGTGTGTTTATATATATACACACACACAAATATATATATATGAGTTGGTTGGATTCTCAGAAAATGGCATGACTTACAGAGACTGGATGAAAATGATATATTTATCTTTTCTCATGTGTATCCACTACAAAGTGATTGTTCCCCAGGTGATAGGTAGCAGGTGGTTCTCTGCTGTTCCAACTGCAACTCTCCTAGATGAATAGCAGAATTAGAAGTTAAGATTTTTCAACAGCCACATAATCCACCCCACTATATATTTAAATACTAATAGCAGTATTCAGCTATCATCAGGAGGTCAGTTCCTCACCCAGTGGCACAGCAAATGGCTCATCCATTCACTCCCAGCTCACCATACATATCACAAAAATGTTAAAATTAGTGTTTACACTTAATGGAAACAAAAATATTAAATGAAGTGGAAGAGGGGAGGTGCATCTCTCTGGTACATTCTTTAGCCCATCCTTTGAAAACAGATTTTATTTTTTCCAAAAAACCTCATAAGATTTTGCTGCAGTTAACAGCTTCCTAATTGCAATTCCTGATCCCTGTCTTGTGGTTAGGAATCCAAAGGGTTTCTTAAATCAACAGGAGCAGCTGCCTCCTTGAAGCCAGGCATGGTGTATGTCACTGACTGTGGAAAGGAGCTGTGATACAGGGAGGAGTGGAGGTAATTAATGTGGCCAGTGTCATAGCTCAGAGCATGGTTGCACTACTGAGTAAGGGCACACTTACTGCAATCATTTATCTTTCCTCTGCCACAGACATGCAGAAACATACATGCATGTTTTACTTTTGTCAGTGATGGAGCAGTCATTAGAAATACAAGAATGCACAAGGTGCAGCTGAATCTTGTAGCTGATGACGTGCCTCTAGAGGTGATGCCTGCCTTTGCTCTTTGGACAAGTATGAGAAATGCTGAGAAAACCCAGTCTTTGGTTTTAAACTTATCTCTCTGCCACTGGCAAATTCTTTCCTACAGAAGAGAAACAAAGAAAGAAAAGGAAGAGAAAAAAAAAAAAAGTCAAGCAAAAGGCTCCGTTTTGTGGGTTGTATTTTAGCTTAGATAAAGGGGAGGAACAACCTGTGGGTTGAATGTGGACGTAGTATTGCAAGTGATAGAATTGCACAAACTGGAAGTTGCATCTTTTCTTGGCAAAGACTTTCTTGGTCAAGATCTCAACACAAGTTCTGTCCTTGGGTTATCTAAACCTCCAGGATTAGTGTTTACCCCTGGTTGGAGAAGGATGTATAAAGCCATTCAAGCACCCAGCATTGCTGCTCCTGCAAGTTGTCCTCACAGACAATGCCATACCTTGCTTTTCCCAAAGTGTAACAGGTGATTCAAGACCAGGTCCCATCAGTTCCCAGCCTTCATTTCCCTTCAGCCAAAAATGGGGAAGAAGATACTTTTCTTTACGTGGGTGTTGACCCTCCAGATGTTCCCAAAGTTTTCACCTTCCATTTCAGTCTCTGAAGGCAACCCTACCTCCCAGCTCAGCTGCATCCACCCACTAAACACAGAGCCTCAGTAGAGAGAAGATTCAAAGCCTTGTGGTATCTGTGTGGACCAACTGATTCACAGCTGAGTGTTGCAGAGGTCATTGCAAGTGCAAAATGGCTATTCATTCCTCAGACTTTATTCCTACAATAAAAAAGCCTCCCTGCCTTTTCAGCAGGTTTCTGCTGCCATAGCCAGCAGCTTTTTACCCCTCTGACACACACGAGCTGTTCCTGTGTCCCTGTGAGACAAATTCACATTCTTGCCAGGCATCGAAGCAACTTCCTTGTGTAATTTCAAAGTAATTTTAAAAATCAAAGGTCCACCCTGTCCAGATGGGCCAGCAGGCTAGGGCAGGTTGCTGTGAGCAGCAGTGTGAACTCCAGCTGTATGGGATTGCCCAGGTCAGGAGATGTGATCCCATTTCTGGCTCACCCAACTGGGTATAGCCTTTGGTGGGATTCCAGAGCAAGGCCTAGACTCATCCTTCTGCATAATACATGGTAAGAAGTCCACTGCATGTTAGGAGAGCTGTAGATGAGATTGTGATTAAGAAGTTTTAAGGATAGTCACTGGGAAGATGGAAATTAGTTCTTTGCCTAAGACTTGCTGAAAGCAAGAGAGGCAGTTTGAGTGAAGAAGGTGGGAAAAGACAAGCCTTGGGATAAAATCATGTGGCTAAGTGGTAGGTTAAGAGGTGGGCTGAAAAATAAATACTAAAGTTGTAGAAACTGAGTGCAGGAATTTGGAATAGTAGAAAACCAGAGAAAGAATTAACCAAAATAACCGAGTCCTTGCATTAGGTATTTCACACAGAGAGTGAGGGATGTTCCCCTGACGGGCTGTGCTTGTAACGTCTTTACCACTGACTGGATATCCTGGCAGCTTTGTCTGATCTCAGGGACTCAGAAATCTGAACCTCGGCTTTGCAGCTTAAGCTGCTTTCCAGTGGTGAGGCACTGAGAACTGCTGGGACATGCCTGGGTCCTGTTAGCAGTCCATCAAACACTGCCCACCTACAGTACTTTTTTCTGCAGGGTCTGTAGGCTCCCAAGCTCTCATGGTAGCCCTTGGACCCTCACCATGACAAAACAAGTTTCCTGTCCTAATAATCAAAGAATTCTGGCTTGTCTGTCTGTTACAGCTTGGGTCTTTGCTCATTGCTGGGTCTGCTGCTCTCCTGACTAGAACAGTCCTTGGAGTTTCAACCTCACTTAAACAGGGACTGAAGAAGCAGTACTTGTGGAAATCCCTTCCTTGGAAATCTCAGGAACGTTCCAGGGATTTATGTGTCACAGTGCACAATCCTCTCTTGTGAGATCTAGTAGTATCTAAAGCTGCAAGAAAGATGGGGGGGTTTACCCTGTTTACATTGTCCTATGTCTGGATTTGCTAGCCTTTTCTACTTTTTTACTGTTAGGCTATTAAAAGGAGCACATACAAGGCAAATCTTACAGTCCTTACTCAGGTTAATGGTGACCTTGGCTGAGAAAAAAATGACAAGACTTGTTCTGGTATTAAATAGTCAATGAACTGTGAATAAGCAGAGAATAAAGGTTTTAGTAGCTCACCTATATATATCACCTAAAGCTACATTCTGCTGAAGGAAGAGAGAAAAGCCAAAATGAAATTAAGCTATCTTAACATTAAAAATATTAAATGTGATGTTTAGTGATTTACTTTTGCTTTGTAGAGCTCCCAGCAACCTCACACTTCCATTTTCCAGTTGGGGGGTGGGTTTGGGTTTTTTTTGTATGCTAATGATGTTCAGGTGGTTTAAATAAGGCTAGACTAAAGCATCCAGTGTTTGGGGGATTACTTAATCAATGTCACCTGAGCCACATTCTCTCCCTCCATTTTAGGTCCCTAACTTCATCAACACGACCCTCCCACCCCATGAGCAGGTGACGGCTCAGGAGATAGACAGTTACTTCAGACAGGAGCTCATCTACAAGAGGAATGAGAGGATGGGGAAGAGAGTGATGACACTTTTAAGGGAGAACAGAGACAAGAGCTTCTTTTTTGCCTTTGGAGCAGGTATGGCATGAATTTTTCTTTTTTACTCAGTTATAATGGTGGGAAGTAAAGTAGTGTAAATGCTGCAGGATTCAGTTTCTGGTCCTGTGTGAGGATTTCTTCAGGGACTTCTCTTTGAAGCAAAAAGGCTTTTGTTTGTCTAAACCTGCTTCTAAAATGCAGCGAGTTGTTGTAGGAGGTGGGTCAGGGTTCAACAAGGCTGTGGATGGGGGGCAATCCATTGCTTTCCATCTGACTGTAGAAATGTGAAACTGGTAATGCTTTTCACTCTGCTGTGTTTGTTCCCTTCCAAACTCAATTTCTGGGCTGCTTGGGTTATGTTCACACAGATGGTTTCATTTGTGATTGCAGGTGTAGGAGGTGAGTAAAGGGCTTTTGTAGGTGCAAGCCCAGGTACTGGTGGCAGTGACTGGGAATACAGACCTTGCTGTGTGCTGACCTGGGGTTTCAAACCCTTTGGAGTTGCTGTAGTTAGATTTTTCTCGATGGGTGACTTAATTACTTTGGTGTTGTGTCTGTACAGACTGGCTGGTTTTGAATCTTGCACAAGTACCTGATGTGTGTGGCTAAATACCAGTATTTTAAGTCATCAAGTAAAACTTAATGTCCTTCTGCTTGTTTAAATTCTCTCTATGAAGTCTGCAGAACAAAGATGTCTATAATACTTCTGTAGGTCTGTAACAGGATGTGCTACTGTCCTTTTTCTCCTTTTTTTTGTTCCTTTTCCAATGGAATTCACATTGCTGTGTAATAAGGGTATAAATAATAACTGCTCAGGCCCTGGTTCATCAGAATCCTGAGCACCGGCTTAAGTAGCTCTTTGAGCTCCCTTGACTTCAAGGCAGCCTGAGATTGTCATGAGAGAACCAATCTGCTCCTCCTGTTCCCTCTCCTTGACAATTTCTCATTTTTGACACAACTTTGCTTCTCATCCCATGGCTCTTGCCATGAACTTTGGCAACAACTCACCTTTCGCCACTCACTTCAGTGGGAATTTTTATTAAAGACTGTGGGGTTTAGCAAAGATACATGCATTTTGATGTATTTATTTTTTGAGTGTATCCAGACTGAATTTTCCCAAGCGTATTTAATTTCTGGTTTGCCTGATATTTCTGTCCAAGGAGTTCTGCTTAACTGTTTTTGCAGTAGGAAGATATATCATGGTGGTTCATAACTGGACAGGGATTCATAAAAAACAGCTTGACTAACCTGTGGAGTAAGGCTTATCAGAGGTTATTGAACATGAGGGTTTTGATATAGTCTCCAGTCTAGAAGTCCATTAGCAAGTATGTACTGGAGCTGGGAGGATAAACTGGCCATTCTTGCCTGCTTGCCCTGCTTGGTTCACACTTTTTCTTGGCATCACTTACAGACCACAGCTTGAGACAGAATCTTGGGCTAGATGGGCCATGGGTCCAATCCACTGCAGCTATTTGTATGGAAATGAAATTAAGGAAATGGATACCAATTACACTCTGCTTTCCAAAGCAAGTCACATCTAAGTTGAAGGAGGTTTGAGCTTTCATTCCCCCTCATCACTGGGGAGCATCTACCTGAACTTCTGAGCAGCATCATTTGTGAAAACTAGAGAGCAACTCTCATTTTGTCCTTTAATCTCCATTTTTGGTGATGTTGAAAACAGCCTTTGTCACTGGGTTATTTCTTTTTTCCCAGCACTGACTGCAGGACAGAACAGACACAGGCAGCAGCACTTATTGAAAACTGGGGGGCAGGAGACGCCTTTAGCTGTGACAACGCTGAGGAAAGATTTTGGGTTTGGGTTCTTTGTTCCAGCATCCCTTTGGCCTTTCTCACTAATGAGGGCCAGCCCTGCAGGCCATCCCTATTTTAAATACAATGAATTCCTCTTCTCTTCTCTGGGGTGTTTTTTGCTGCATGCAGAAAGTACTGAGAAAATTTTTAATTTTTCAGTGTCCAAAGTTTTATGTGGCCCAAGTGCAGCAAGTTCATTTTCTTTCATGATTCAAATGCAGTTTTTCTCTTGGAGGCTTTTCTTGAGCTGTTAGATTGTTTTTCACACACTGAGTTACAAGAATGGATGTTGTATTTTGCAGTCTTATATCTAATTTTTTAATTTTAAGGGTTTTTTAATCTATTGGGCCATGAATTAAAATTGTTTTCTAAAATCTGGAGGGTTTGGTTTTGCTCTTTATAAAAGTGAAGGGTATTTGATGAAAGATGAGGCTTTCAAATATTTTCAGTAATTCTGGAGTGTGAAATTTTAGGAATGTGACTTTGGTTGAGACAAGCATGATAGACAGTCTGCAGGGATGCACTTGCTCTCAGAAAGATGCAAAAATTATTTCACTTCATTTAAGATTCTGCATATTGAAGACTAAAATGATGGAGGGGAAATAATTTGAAAAAAAATATTCTGGAAAGTGTACTGAAAAAGGTATTGTTCTTCTACTAAGCATGACCTCTGCATTAATCTATTTATTTTGAGGATGCTGAAATGGATTAATTAAGAATAGTTTAATTAAATATGTATATTATGAATTAGTTTCCAGTGTTCATAATCTCCATTGTAGTTTCTGGGAAGGGAAGAACTGGATAAAACTGTGCTGCTAAATGAAAGTATGGGGGGAAATTCTTTCTAAATAAGAAAATAAGCTGAAAAAACACATTGGAAAAACTTCACCAAATGCAATGTCATGCACTGGGGACAAAGAGTGCTAAGGGCACAGGCTTTTGACTATACAAGCTAGCTGAGATAAAACAGTTCTTACATCCACAAAGTGAAGCAAAACCTTTTTATGCTGTTGAAATATTTTAATTATTTTTTTGTTCCAGTAAGAACTATTAAAACAAAATAATTATACCATTCCAAATGGAGGTTTTGGGTTTTCTGCCAGTTTTAAAAATAAAAAGTAGACTTTTCAATAACATTTTTTCCCCCTTTCTCTGCCTTCTGTGGCATTACTTGCAATTTAAATGCGTTGGAGCGGTTCAGACTTTTAATTTATTCCTTTGTAAAACAGGTAGAAGTGAAAATAGCCATTTATTCTTTCTACTTTCATTTCTTTCTCCTCTCCAAGAAAAATATGGGCTTTGGGTAAAAGGGGGGACCCAGCTCTGTACACTTCATTCTTCTCTTGCCAGGGTTTACCATACTCAGACTGAATGTGAAAATCTCACCATACCTATATTCATAGTAGCTATACTCTAGTAATGAAACAGCTTTTATTGTTTGTGCAGTTAAATGGTGTTTTTCAGGTAACAGTAAGGGTAATTTTTCCCTTTGAATGAATAAAAGTAGCTAAATAGAGTACTTCCAAGTAAAATCTTGGGGCTTTCTTGCTTTTTGCATTTTGAAAATCCATCATGGATTGCTAAGAATCATTGATCCATAAGAACGGTGAAGAGCCTTAGACCTGATATATACAGGCAATGTATAAAGGTCCATTTACAGTCAAAGGAGAAGCAGCCAAGAGCACATGGGCTGTTAAAAAGAGTTAATATTTTGGCAACTAAGACTATACACATGAAGTCAATGTTTAAGAAAAAATTCACTCTGGTTTATTTCATTTTTATGGGCAAATAATTTTCAAGCAACACTTATGATAACAGATGGATAAATTTATGTCTGCAGTTAATTTGAATGATAATTTCCCTAGGATGTTTTAGTTGCTTGCATTTCTGTCTTTCTTTCTTTCTTTTATGAGAGCTGTCATTTTTGTAGCTGAGAGCTGGATTTACAGCTTCAGAAATTCGGATGCTGCTCCAGTTCACAATGTTTATTAACAGCCAAATCAGTAGGCTTTAAGACTGTGGTTTGGGTTATTTAAAATAATAAATATATCATGGAGAATATTCTATTAGTGCTGAAAGAAAGAGATGAAATGCAAGTACCACAGCATCTCCCACAGCAAGAGGGGAATCAAACTGTCTCTGGACCACGATCCTGCAGTGGAGGAAAGCTTGTGTTTTCCTGCCCCATCAGGTCCAGGCAGCTCCCTGCATCTGAGAGGTTGGAGAAGAACCATGGTGTGGTGTACAGCAGAGCAGGCTGGTGAGCACAACTCCTGATGAAGTCAGTGTGTGTTAACAGGGATTGATTGATGTGTGTGAAAATCAAACCACTTTTGCTTAGCTATAGATTTAGGTGGCTAAGGTTAGGTGGCTAGCTTGATGGATTAGGTTTAAATTTCTGAGATGTTCTGCAAGAAGATACAGGCTTGGTTGTAGATATCTGAGCTCCCATGGAAGCAGAGGAATTCATCCCAGAGTAGGAACTGCACAAGTAGATTTTGAACATTTCTATGCTCAGAACAGGTGAATCCGCTCCCCATTCTGCAGCGTTCAAGGGTAAATCATGTTTGACTAACCTCATAGCCTTCTATGAGGAAATTACTAGGTGGATAGATGATGGTAGAGCGGTAGATGTGGTTTATCTTGATTTCAGTAAGGCATTTGACACCGTCTCCCACAGCATCCTTGTAGAAAAGTTGATCAGGTATGGGTTTGGTGATCAGGAAGTGAGGTGGATTAGGAACTGGTTGAAAGGAAGGAGTCAGAGAGTTGTAGTCAATGGGGCAGAATCTGGTTGGAGGTGTGTGACTAGTGGAGTCCCACAGGGGTCGGTACTGGGACCGGTGTTGTTCAACATCTTCATCAATGACCTGGATGAGGGTATAGAATGTACCCTCAGCAAGTTTGCTGATGACACTAAGCTGGGAGGAGTGGCTGACACACCAGAAGGCTGTGCTGCCATTCAGAGAGACTTAGATAGGTTGGAGAATTGGGCGGGGAGAAACATGATGAAATTCAACAAGGGGAAGTGCAGAGTTTTACATTTGGGGAAGAACAACACCATGTCCCAGTACAGGTTGGGGGCTGAACTGCTGGAGAGTAGTATAGGTGAAAGAGACCTGGGGGTCCTGGTAGACAGGAGGATGACCATGAGCCAGCAATGTGCCCTTGTGGCCAAGAAGGCCAATGGCATCCTGGGGTGTATTAGAAAGGGTGTGGTTAGTAGG